GGAGAGGTTAATTTGTTAATTAATTTATCCATCTTTTCCTTTATCCATTTATTTAATTAGAGCAGGGGTCTCTAACCTTTTTCTGCTGGTGAGCTACTTTTACAAAACGAAAATACCAGAGAGCTACTTGTTTTAACAGTCACAAGAAATTACTATATATAAAAGCCACGTGGCAATGTTAGATGCCTATAAAACATAATCCATTATCCATTTATTAGTACATAAACTTACACTGCAAAAAAACTAAATCTAGTCAAGTTAAGATGACTTGAACTAAGAAAGTTTTAACATGATTTGAGTAAATTTCACTTGACAAGTAAAATTATCTACCAATGAAACAACTTTTGGTACTTAAAATATGAAAATACATCTTACTACATTTAAAATAAGAAAAAACAACATCTTTTTGCACTTAAAATAAGAAACTAAATCTAATTTTGCTTGTATTGAGAGTGAGAGAGAGAGAGAGAGAGAGAGAGAGAGAAAACACTTATTCCATTGGTAGATAATTTTACTTGTCAAGTTGAATCTCCTCAAATAAAGCAAAATGTTCTTAATTTAAGTCATTTTAATTTAACTAGTATTGGATTTTTGCAGTGCAGGCATCAAAATAATACATGTACAATGGGAAAAGGCATTTAATCCAAATTTTACTTATTGAGCACAATACATATAATTCAGAAATCCCTTGGCGAGCTAGTAGAAAGAGGGTGGAGAGCTACTGGTAGCTCCTGAGCCTCCTGAATTAGAGGTATTTTTTTGCTCAAAAATATCTCAAAGCGCATGCTTTTTTACTGTGATCTTAGTCACCTCCTCACAGATCTAACCTCTCATCTTCTTATAGAGAAATATAAATTTAATGAGATAGCGTGGAACACTCCAGCCAAAGAAATAACAACTCAGGCAAATAAGAAGGCCATGTACCCTCCACCAAAAAGATTACACGGTGTACCTTTAAATAATAGGTTTACTGCAGATGAAATATCTGTCAGAAGTGATGCTCTATTCAGATCATGGATCCCTTAGTTGGCTTTATCCCTAAATGTTTTACTTAATTTTTGTGCAAATGATTATAAAATACTAGTGTAATTAAAATAAGCAGTTAAAATAAGGCTACAAACAGTTTTGCTATTAGACATGTTTGTATAATGAAGTCAGTTTGAGTGCTGAAAAGAAGACATGAGCAGCTCTTGAGAGAAAAATGGTATCACCTCATGACCTCATCACCTCAGCAACTCGTTTAAACAATCATGCCAATAATAAAATATGCATTTTAATCTTGTCCAAATAAAACAAAGGGGTCACAAGCCAAAGTACATTTTGTGCTTGTCCAGAGTTCATATCGATCTTTCGGGAAAGCCATGAAGCATAATTGCTGAAATGTTTTAATGATATTTTAATGAATGAAAATCCATCTTGTAATGGTCCAGTTGATCCGTTTGGATTTGAAACACGATGACATATCTTTATGATTTATATGATTCTGCTGATACCTCTGATTTTATGAAAAGACAATCATTAAACTGTTATTGTGCCTTTTCTGGTTGGGGGTTCTGCCACCTGCTTGTTTCCATGGAGAGGTTATTGCTTTGCCTGAATGTCCCACAGTATAATTTTTTCTCAATTACATATTTTGATTGCTCAGAAATACCTTGCAATGCATGCATCTCCATAGTTCTGACTTGTAACTTGGCTTGGTGGTGTCGTTTGCTTTTCTCAGTAGACCTGGTTAGTGCATGAATGGATGAATGGTAGTCCTCTGGGAATACTGGGTGGCTGTTGTTGTGTCCTTAGGCAAGACAGATAGGTAAGAGCTTGAGTGGTGGTGTTGGTCAGAGCAGAGGGGCCAAAGGCACAGAGTAGCAGCCTCACTTTCATCAGTTTATCCCAGGGCAGCTGTGGCTACAATAATAGTAGTACTTGTAGTAGTACTTGTAGTAAAATGATAACCCAGTGTGAGATGTTGAGTGCGTGTTTTCATACCAGGAGAAATCTTATCATCAAAAACACCTGGTGACAATTTGTAGGGTTTTTTCTTTTTTTATTTCACTTTGCTCGGAACAATGATGAAATACTTAAAGGTCAAATGTGGTACATACAGCAACACCCAAGATCATCCTTGTGGTTTTAGTAGTAAAAAAACAACATTTAAGTTGTTTTATGACTTATAGCAGTCACATCAGAGGCACATCAGAGGTAGAATATATAGAAAAAGTTAGTTAAATAAAAGTTGAGTATTATCTCCATCAACTTAGAATATGTTTTTATAGCTGCTTTTACTAATTTACAATTAGTATTTAGATATTAGTTTATGATGTTGCACGTTTGTAATAAATGTAGACTGTGGGTTTTTGGGTTTTCTTTCTTTTATAAATGCCCAAACCGTGTCTGCGCTGGTCTGTAGGCTCATTGCCATAAATCACAAGGAAATTATGCTGCGAATAGCCATCCATCACCAGGCTGAGGAATCTGTGCACATAACATAATGCATTTGAGCACACAGTGGGACGGACGGAAGAACACAGGCCCTGTATCTCATAATGGCAAAAAACTACTCCTGTGACTGCTCAGTTAACCCTTTGTCTTATAACACCTATTTGGCCTTGACTGTCCTTTACAGGGAAAAAACAAACAAACATCCTATTACCCATACATTTCCCACAAAACTACAGTTGATCCATTGGATTTTATTGTGCAGTTGATATGTCAGGATGTGCCCTGAACCATTAAGGATTTTTGTATGTCAGAGTGCCTGAGACATTTTCTCTTTGCTAGTTAACAACAGCTCTACCTCATGAACTGACTAAGCGGCTGATTAGGGCCCCGAGGGCACCAGAGGGCTCCCAAGAGTGCCTAAAATTGTATTGCAAATGGTGTTCATTACGAAAATGGCCTTTTAGTCAATCGCTTAACATTAATGAAAAATGTGTAGCATTAAAAATGGGGAAGGAAGGACTCCCATACCCCCCTGTCCAATGCTGGTATACTGCTCTGGTGTTCTTGGGCATAGAAACATTTTCTTTTTATTCACTTCATGTTTATTTGATGTTGGTAATGCAAACACTTCTTGTGAGGTGTGAATCATCAGTAGCAGCTCAAGTGGTAGTGAAATAGTGAGGGCTCCTTAGGGCCCCCTTTGGGCCTCTTGAGCTGTAGGTAAGTGTATAATCCTGGCTTCTGACAAGTTGCAGTTGTAGAGAACCTATTTCATATATTCAGCAGCATTCTTAGCGTTTCTGTCTCTATATATCCAGCCTGTGTCATGGTCCAACAATCAGTATTTCTTGTTGATACCTTATGTTACTTCTTAAATTCAAGTGTGAAAGTACTGACTTATCTCATGTGCCCACAGGTTCTCTGTTCCCGGCACTGAAGCCCTCTGAGACTATCTTCAAAGTGATCTTCTGGCTGGGCTACTTCAACAGCTGCATCAACCCCATGATCTACCCCTGCTCCAGTAAAGAGTTCCAGCGCGCCTTCACCCGCCTGCTGCGCTGCCAGTGCCAGCCCAGGAGGCGGGCTCTGCGCAGGTTCTATGGGCAGCGCTGGAAATCTGCTGTCAAGGGCATGAGTGAGGAGCAGAGAGCGGAATTTACCCCGGGGTACTCTGTCCATGAATCTTGTGGCAGCTCTTTGTTACAGAGGGGTAAAAACTCTTTTTGTATCAAATCTTGGAGATTCTTTCCACCTTTACAGAAATCATCATTTCAGCTGAAGGAAAAAGTGAACAGTATTTCAAATAAAATCAGGGCAGGGACTAGTAAAGGGACCTCCCCCACAGTCGGACGCATTGATATCGTCGAGACAGTGTCCATGGGTATCTACAGCGGCTGTGACGAGGGCAGTTATCAGTTCTATGATCTGGCTGAATGCTACAGCCTCAAAGAAACTGACATTTGAAATTTCAGTATTTATTTACAATTGAAACATTTGAGGAACTTTTAAAGTATTTTAAACATGTAACTTTTTTGTTGGTGTGGTCTGTCACCCTGAAGATGTTATTGCTTTGCCTGGAATGTTCCGCAGTATGGTATTAAACTTGTCCAACATGCATTTATTCATTTATAGTGTTTACAGTGTGTTTCTATCGTTCTTGAAAAATGTGCATTCTTACTGTGAGCGGGGAAACCTCTCCACTGACCGGACCTGCAACTTGGCCTCCCAGGCAAAGTATTAACATCTCCATGGAGACTTGCAGTTACCCTCTTCTATAAAAGTTACATAGTACACCTTTAAAGACAGTATACTATATCATTTTGAGAGAATATCACAAACTGAAACTTGAACACTCACATTTGTCCTGTAATTTGTCTGGATAATGTATAAGCAGATCTTTTACTGTTCATCTGGTGTCACGCTTTACATTTGTATCCAACATTTGTATTCATTTGTGCAACTATTAAGAGTTTGCTAAATATTTCTATTATTTTTCCACAGTTGGATTAAGGAAATTTTTTCAAATCAAGGATGAGCACCAAAACTCATTTGACCTTATGGTCCAACCCTTTGTAACCCAATGAATGTAACACAGAGTATCTCTTTAAAATGGATCTTTGCTTGTTAATCTTGTATATTTCCCAGCTTCTGACAAGGCATTGTTGACCTGAACTATTTTTCATATACACGCTGCTCTGTACTGGCCGTTGGTAAACTGTTTTAAAGTTGATGTCCGTGTTAATTTGTCACTGACCAGTTGCTGTGAAAAAAAGTGACATTCTTGCCTTTTCTGATGTTATTGTGCCAACTGAGTGTAAAATTAATAAATCTTTTCTTTTTCCTTTTTGAAGTAATGTAATACATATTTTCTTCCAGCAGATGGGGCTGTAGTCACATCATTGCAGAGTGAATGATCAAAAACAAGGACAACGTCTTTAATGTGATATCTGTAATATATCGTAATGAGGTTTATTCATACTGATTATGAAGAAATATTTATCATGTTTTTACATAACAATTTCATGAAACAGAAATGTATCAGCACATGACAGTTATCAGTCACAAATATCAGTAATTTTATTCATTTTAAAAACTTTTTTGCAGTCCAGTAGGGGGTGCCATAACTCAATTTGCCATAATTGATACTGACATTACAATACATTTAATTCAGATTCAGAGACTTAGTTTGAGTAGTAAAAAACACACAGTTACAAACAAATATTGAACATGTGACTCTGAACAGAAAAGCTCATAGGTTTAAGAAGCATCCAGTGAAAAGACATCACATTAGAATGGCAGTAGAAATAAAAAGATTTCAAATACCTATTCGCTTTTGAATAGGGACAACATTTATTAATTCTCAAATTTTGCTGAAACTCAAACTCCTGAAGTCTCTTTTAGATCTCACATCTGACTGAGTTCAAATACCTAAATGATTTACTTTGAAGTTGTTCATGCTTTGTAGTTTATCAGATTTAAAGAAGACATATTATGCTACTCTCTGATCTATGTTATATTATTCCACATCAAAAAACATATTCACACATGTTCAACATACAAAATCCTGCATATTTAGGCTGAGTTTCTTTCAATTAGCCTCTGGCGAAATACTGTGAACTACGAACAGTAGAATACTGTCATGTGATAATACAGAAGTGCTCCACTTTGTTTTTAAAACTCCAAACACCTTCACTAGAATCATATGGATGATTTCAGACATGAATTCTGTTCTATTTCTATTGAACTAAAGGTAAAAAGTAGCCATTAACTTCATGACATCACAATGTTTCATTCACATGTTTGAGTAACCCTTTATTCATCTTCTTGGTGTATATCTCCAAAGGTCAAACTGTTCTGTTCCAACTTCTCATAACATGTAGTGGTAGTTTTCAAGTTTACTTCAATAGAGAATGGCACTTCTAGGGCTGACATTATCCAAATGATTCTAGTGAAGGTGTATGGAGTTTTAAAACACAGTGTGGTACTTCCTGTATTCCCTAACCAAAAACATACCCAGAGTTGTGTCTTGTGCTACAGAGCATTTTGAGCTTTGGAAATGTAAACACACTAGGATTACTCCAACATGTGTGAATGAAACAAAACACAACTCCAGGTATATTTTTGCAGAGATAACCACATTCTAACACGCCCAAATGCTCTCAAGTCAATTTTACGTAATATTTGACCTTTAATTCCTTTGCTCATTTTGCACATCTTTCTTTGTCTGCGACAGCTCCACCCACGACAAAGGCTGGTGAAGACAAACTCTGCATCCTATGAACATGAGAAAAGCTCTACGAAACGAGCGATTGAAAAACCCATACAAGAGAGGATTGAGCGAGGAGTTAAGATACCCCAACCACAGGAACACATCCCACACCACTGCCTCCGTTCTGTATCCTATGAACGGATCCACAACATTGATAGTGAAAAACGGCATCCAAAAAAGCAGAAAAACTCCCATGACGATCCCTAGTATTTTCGCAGCTTTGCCTTCTCTTTTCATTGCGTTTCGATGTCTTTTCTTCTTGCTGGTGTCTTTCCCCATCTGGCTCTCCATTGCGCTGATCTGCCTCGCTTGCTTCCTGGCCACCTTGTAGATCTTCCAGTAGGCCAGCAGCATCGTCAGCATGGGCAAATAGAAGGAGACAACAGAGGCGAGCACGGCGTAGATTTGATTCACGACGAACACGCAGCTGTCTTTTGGTATTTCGATGTCAGTGTTTGCAACGTGGAGTTCAAGCATGACCGGGCCAAATGAAATAAGCGAAGAGACACCCCAGCATAAGATAATGAGAAAAACGACACGATTGTTGGACATTTTCAGGGAGTAACACAACGGATTGCACACGGCGTAGTAGCGATCGAAAGCAATACAGCTCAAATGGAAAATAGACGAGGTACACAGCATCACATCTAAGCTGGAGTGAATTTGACAAAACAGAGGGCCAAATATCCAACATCCCTCAATGGTCCGTACCATACTGTAAGGCATCACAATTAGTCCGACCAGGCAGTCCGCCACAGCCAGTGACAAAACAAAGAAATTGGTAGCGGATTGGAGTCTCTTGAAATAAGCAATGGACAAGACCACCAAAGAGTTACCAACCACGGTGCAGATGATGACGAGCGAGAGGAAGATGTAGAGGAAAACTTGAGATGTTTGGTTTCTCAGTATTGAGCAGTCAAGTTCAAGTACATCGGTAAAGTTGAAGGATGCAGGTGTCTCCGAAGTATGATTGGCCATGGTTGCAAAACAACTGAAATAAAGAGAAAATTCAAGTAGTCTGCAGGCATAAATACTTTTTTTTTCCTGTATTCATCATAGATTGCATTTTGAGGGTATTTTTGTGTAGTCTTATCATGTTTTTGTGTTGATTTCCCATGTGTGCCTCCATATATTTGTGTCAGTTAAGTACTATGCCGTCTGCTGATAAAGCTAATAAAAGTATCAATATAATCATCAGAAGTGGGAACAAGTCGTTGTTTTGCAAGTCTCAAGTCTTTGACCTCAAGTCCGAGTCAAGTCACAAGTCAAATACAGGCAAGTCCAAGTCAAGTCTCGAGTCACTGGCCCATAAGTCCAAATCGTCTGCTTTGAACTTCAAATCATTTCAAGTCTTTACACCAAAGTATGAAATATAGCTTAGATTTTTGTAATTTATATGACCTTTAAGATAAATTGTACTTAAAAAAATCATAGTATATTTATATAAGAGTTGTAGAAATTAGTTTAGTTATTTTTTCCTTTTTAAATGTCTTGACAAGATGTTTGTGTAAATCATTATGGTCAGAATATCAAGAATTTGGATTTAAAAGTGATTCTCAAGTCTCAGGGGTCAAGTCTGAGTCAAGTCTCAAGTCATAGACCTTCAAGTCCAGGTCGAGTCCCAAGTCTTAGTCCATTTTATCAAGTCAAGTCCTAAAAACAGTGAACCAAGTCTGACTTGAGTCCAAGTCATGACTTACAAGTCTCCACCTCTGAAAATTTGCCCCCAACTAAAATTATATACTATCAGCGCTAAGAATTTTCATTTTAAAGGTGCACTATGTAACTTTTTGAGTCCGCCACCTGCTTGTTTCTGTGGAGAGGCTTGGAATGTTCCACAGTATGACATTAAACAGCTTTATTTACTCAATTTGTTCAATTACAGGCCATTTTACAGGTTAAAAATACCCAGAAAAACAGGCATTCTAACTGTGAGCGGAGTTGCGTCTCCACAGATCTGACCTGTAACTTGGTCTGGTTTGGTCTCCATAAAGATACAAAGGTTTTTTATCATGCTGTGAAACATTCCAGACAAAACAATAAAATATTCAGGGAGAAAAACATTTGACGGACCTTCCACCAAAAAAGTTATGCCAGGCACCTTTAAAGCAAAAGATAGTATATAGATTTATGTTTGATCTAGTAAAAACAACAATATTAGCTGCTATAAGTATAAAAAAGTTAAGATCCAGTTAGAAAAGCATGCACTCACCTGTTTGGACTCCTGTCTTCTCATGTCTCTGCCTTGTTGCTTGTGCATAGACCAAGGTTTGGCGGAGAGGAGGGCGACAAAAGTGACGCTGAATGCTCCAGTACTCTGATTAATGCATGAAAGAGTAATACATTTTCTCATTTAACTCTATTCAAACCCATGGACTCTGATTCAGTATGTGTTATTATGATTACTAGGTGTATCACTCGCATGTCCATTGTAGTTTTGTCCAAACACAGCTATGTCTACAGTAAATATATCCGTATAATTGGATTTTGACGTGTTTGAAGATGCAGCAGAGCAAAGACAGTGATTCTCTACGGAGCAGCTTAGACCTCACCCACTGACAGGTGCATCTCGAGTGTGGAGGATCTGTGCTAATTAAACAGAAGGGGATTTCAAAAAGCTACACAACGATCATCATCATTATTATTACTATTGTTATTTTTAGTGTAGTAGTAGTGGTAGTGGAAGTAATAGTAGTAGTAGTAGTTGTTGTTGTAGACTAGAAGTACTGCTAGAAGAAGTGTTTTATTACTGATCTTTTTTTTTTTTTTTTCATTTAAAAAACATAACACACAAGACTTTAGTCAACACGAAGGACTAAACACCAGCCAACAAGAATAGATAATGAAAATATTTATCGGTTATTTCACAGTTTGTAAAAAGTGATTATGTCTCTCTCAGGTCATAAATATATATTCACATTATACAACCAGCCAAAATAATGTAAGATGGACATAACAGTGGATACGTGGGTTACTTCATGTGCACGGTGGTCTGTGAAATGAAGTCATTCCATGAAAGCAACATGTTTTCAGTTTTACCAAGGAAACTTCGTTACCTTGTTTGTTTCTAACCCGAGAGCGTAGGCTTGGGCTATACAGTTTGCAAAGATTGCCCTCTAGTGTTAACAGGGAAGTACTGCATAAAACAAAACCAGGCCTTTACGTTTGGGCCAAAGCAAAATCAGCACACCAGAGAAGAACACTAGAGTTGGCCCTGCAGTGTCTTTATCTCCTGCATAAACATTGTACATATAAATGAGCATAGAACCTGGCTAGACCAGAGGGACTTTATTTCAACAGAAACTCCTGTTTATACTCACATAGCGCTGTTCTGAAATGACAAATGAATTTGTCTTTTGTATAACTTTTGTTTTTTTTTTTTTCTCTCACTTGAAACCAACGTCTGTAACATTTGAACATCCTTCAGAGATCTTGGTGTACTCCAATACTAATACTAATACTAATACTAATACTAATGGTAATATAGATACATAATGTGGCATGATGCTGTAAAACTGTGATCGATCTTCAATATGCGTGCCCCCCCGGTTATTTTTGTTATAATGAAACTTTATATTGCCCTATGTCCCTATGTGCAAGCAAATAAAGCCTGTAGGCTACTATAAGGTAATTGTAGGTAGTAAATAAATACATTTTTTATGTATATAGCCTAGTTTTATTGAGAGTGTCTGGCCCAAAGACACATGTTGGGAATGATTCTCCCCGTTAAGCAAATGTAACTGATAACCCTGCTGTAACAACATTGTCAACTCTCAATATGTCAAGATATTTGTGCTTCTATATATGTTCACACACAACAGACGCGCCCTGTGGTGGCGGGTATAACGGAGTGGACTTTTATTGTAGTTACTGCAGTGCTTTCAGCAACTTACGGATTTTGCCGCTTTTTCATTGTCTTCAACCGTCATTTTTCTTCTTACAGGCCTAATACTAGCACTGACGACAGGCCGCTTAAATAATGAATCTGTCTGATGACCGCTGCTTCCTGGGTTTTCACGTGACCACGCGCTCACTAGTGCGTCTCGAGCAGGTCTCGAGCGGAGCTGAGGGCTCAAAGTAAAAGGAAATACAATACCGTTTAGATTCTTCGTTTACAACTTTCATGCAAAGATCGTAAAGGATGTTTTCCATCGGAGAGAAAGTGGAGTTCCTTTTGACCAATCCATTCTCTACGCCCGTGGGACAGAGAATAGGTGAGTATCCTACTTTAGTTTAGAAAAGTTGACTCTTATTAGACTACATAGGCCTACGCAGGTTAACCACAATAACAATACACGAATTTCGTCAGTGCATTAACTTAGTTCAGTGCAGTTATTCCTCACTGGTCAAAAGTTTCTTTGGGCATAAAAATATATATATACTTATTTTAATTCCGTTTTGACACAAGTTAAGCCTCTAAGAAGGCTCTGCCCCGTGACGAGAGGGAGGCGGGTATTACATGTTTTGATCTTACGCTTGATTGGTTATGGAACTGTATGTGACATAAAATGAACCAACTGGTAAGAACCAAATATGCACGTAGCTTTCTCTCACTTCCTCTGTCATGTCAACATACGCATCTTTACGCACAGGGACACTAATGAGCCGTTTATTTGTGAAAATATTGTAATAATGAAATTTAGAATACATATTAATGGGATGTTATGAGCCTCTGTAGAGTTTATTGACCTGGCATCCTCTGATCTCATCCACTCATTCACACACAAATGTGAAAGAATGGAGCCTCGAGCAGCGCGGAGCACACGAGAGCAGCTGACAGTCACATGAAGGAGCAGAGAGAGGGAGAGGGAAAAGAGAGAGGGGGGCAAAAGGAAAAAAACAAAACAACAAAAAACGGGATATAGAGAGAGTTGAGAAAGGAAAGAGGAGGGGTGAGAGCGAGTGAGTAAGACCAGAGAGAAGAAGGCTGGAGAAAATGAGAGAACGCGTTGAGAAAGAGTGAGCTCAGTGTAAGGAGAGTAAAGGAGATTTGGAGCCCGAGGGGGAGTGCTACAGAAAAGCTTTGATTACTTAATAATTTATGACGAAGATGAAAACAGTTTGAAAATTGGTTTGGGACAGTTATTTATAGTTAATTAGAAGAAAAATACATTATCTGTATATAAAGGTAATTGTGGTTTATGGGGCTTTGGTTGATTGGTTAACTTCAACATTAGTCTTGGTTTTTTTTTTGTTATTTTTGTTATGTTTTTTGTTTAAAAAGTCTATAAAAAAACAACAACTAAAATGTGCACTACGTAACATTTGTGGTGGAGCTTCTGACACATCTCCAGGCTGACGCTAATGTCCCATGTCTTGGCATTAAATAAATATGTATAGGTCAGGGGTCTCCAACCTGTAGCTCGGGAACTACCAGTAGCTCTCCACCTCCTTCCAAGTAGCTCGCCGAAGGATTTCTGAATTAATAACTAAAATCTTATTAATCAACATTGTAGATGTGTCATTTTAATTCCTAATTCGTGCATTCAGTGTTGGGGAGTAACAGATTACATGTACCGTAGTTATGTAATCAGAGTACAAATTATGAGTAACTGTATTCAGTTACAGTTACTGTTTCAGTGAGTGGTAATTGGATTACAGTTACTTTGTTGAAATAAATGGATTACATGGAGGTATTTTTCCTGTTTTCACATTTTGGGCTAAACCAGGACTAAACCAGGTCTAAACCAGGACTAAAACCAGGACTAAACCAGGTCTAAACCAGGACTAAAACCAGGACTAAACCAGGACTAAACCAGGACTAAACCAGGACTAAACCAGGACTAAAACCAGGTCTAAACCAGGACTAAACCAGGTCTAAACCAGGATTAAACCAGGACTAACCAGGTCTAAACCAGGTCTAAACCAGGACTAAACCAGGTCTAAACCAGGACTAAACCAGGTCTAAACCAGGGCCAATTTAAAGAAAACAAACATGAATTTTAAGGATGTGGTCGGTACATTCATGTAGTTTTAAAAAACGTGACAACATCAAGTAATCCAAAGTATTCAGATTACATTACTCACTTTAAGTAATTTAATGGATTACGTTACAAACTACATTTTGGGGTATGTAATCTGTAATCTGTAGGGGAATACATTTTAAAAGTCACCTTCCCAACACTGCGTGCACTAATAAATGGATCATGTCTTATGTTTATAGATACCTAACTGTACATTGTTTAAAACTTGCCATAGCTCTTTTACTTTCTTGTTTTTTTATGACTGCTAAAATGAGAAGCTCTCTGGTATTTTAGTTTTATTAGGAAGCTCACTAGAGTAAAAACCTTGCATTTATTCTGCTACAGGTGCTTTACTGCATTCTTATTTTAATGATATACTGTGTTACATACAGGGAGTTCATCTACATGGATACAAACAGGCTAAACTAACTATTAAACATCCTGTAGAGCTGTAAGTCATGTTGTAATAAACATACCAAGAGTTATGTTTTGTTTCAGTCATACATGTTTGACTAACCCTGTGTTATTAGACTGTCTGCATCTCCAAAGCTCAAAATATGTGAGGTCTTAAAGCAGTAGTTCTCAAGTTAACAGCTACCTTTAACTTTTGTTTGTCAGAAATTGGAAATCAGGAGGCTGAAAATATCCAAATGATTCTAGTGAAGGTGTATGGAGTTTAAAAACACAGTGGTGCACATCACAAGGTGGAACAGAGTGTTTTCTGTTTGGTTTGTGTGCTGAACAAGTATGTGTAGGTGTATGAATGAAAGAAAACACAACAATGTTTTTGATGAGGAAACAACATTACGACATAGATCAGAAAATAGCGTAACTCATTCTCTCCTGACTCCATAAAGTTATATTGTAAAATTAAATTAATACACAAATTGTATTATGTGTTTCAGAAAGAGCGACCAGTGGCTCATTGCGTTCTGAAGATTGGGGTCTGATCATGGAAATATGTGACATTATCAATGAGACTGAAGACGGGTAAGCAATCATTTTCATTGAGTCAAATTCAAGTTTGTTTTGGTTGTTTTTGCAGTGTCGCTTCCTTTGTGGTTGCATCTTGTTAATTATGTACTTCCTACACTTTCTTACGCTGTGTGTTGCACCGGAGGAGCAAACGGTCATGATGAATGCATAAACACTATGCATCCTGTTTTAGAGGTCCTAGATTATACAAAATTGACTCTTGTGAGCTTTTAGCCATGTTAGAATGTTATTAGCTCATCTGAAACATACTTGGAGTTTTGTTTTATTTCATTCATACATATTGGAGAAACCTTTTTTTATTACTTTTTCTACATCTCCAAAGTTCAAAATGCCCTTTGATTTCATGAAGCAGTAGTAAACAGCTACATTTTATCTTGTATTCAGTAGAGATTGGCATTTCCAGGACTGGAATTATCTAAATGATTCTCATGAAGGTGTTTGGAGTTTAAAAACACAGTGGAGCACTTCCTGTATTATTACATGACATCACAAGATGGAACAGTGTTTTTTTGTATACAGCGCTTTTCACAGACATATGTCACAGAGACGCTTTACAAATCTTTATTCATTCACTCCATACCCGATGGTGATAAGATACTATTGTAGCCACAGCTGCCCTGGGGCAGACTGATAGAAGTGCAGCTGCCAATCTGCCCCATAGGTTCATCTGACCACCACCATCACACACACACACCACTTTTATAATAGGCAATGTGGGTGAAGTGGCATAAGGACTCAATGGCAGTTTTTGTGACTGGTGCTCTACTGTGGCTCCTGATTTTCCCAGTCTCTCATCTAAGTACTAACCAGGCCCGGACCTGCTTAGATTCTAAGATCTGACAGGATCAGGCTTTGACAAGCCGGTATGGCCAGTATAGCCTGTAAATGAACAGGATTATGGGTGCTGCTAGTTTATATCTCCATTCCCATCTGTATGTTTGTAACTATCTCTAATTTGGATCTTATACTTATCATAATATAGTATGCAGTATAGATAAGTTGTTTTGTTGTTTTACTTGATTGCTGGTACCTTGTAGGTGTCCTGAGTGTGTTCCCTCATGTTTTGAGCCCCAAATGTAATGAATAAATGCTAGAGAGATGTGTTTAATGTCATACCATGGAGCATTCCAGACATAGCAATAACATCTCCATGGAGACAAGCAGGTGGTGAAAAGTTGCACAATGCAGCTTTAAAACAATTTTGTTTCCACAGACCAAGAGATGCAGTCAAAGCTATAAAGAAGAGGATAGTCGGGAGCAAGCATTTTGGAGAGATCATGTCAGCTCTTACAGTCAGTTCTTCTGCTGTCTATGCTGCTAATATTCATAGTACAGCTCATAAATACATACTGAGATGCTTTTTCCTGGTCTGTTTCTCTCAGGTTCTTGAGGCCTGTGTGAAAAACTGTGGACATCGTTTCCATCTTCTGGTCACTTCACAGGATTTTGTAGAAGGGGTTTTGGTCCGATGCATTTTACCAAAATACAACCCCCCAACTGCTTTACAAGACAGAGTACTCAGTCTAATCCAGGTAAGGGTGTGTGTAATGAGTGTGTTTAAATAAAATAAATAAAATAAAAACAATATTCAGGCCAGATATTTTCAAGATGTCAAATTCACCAAGAACACTTTCACAGCAAAGATCCAAGATGAAAAGACATAAGCAATCAATTGTGTGTGACTGAAGAGGACCGAGGAAGCTGTTTACTATTGGTCTTTCTCTTCTGTGGGGGGCACTTATAGTTACAGTATTAAAGAGATAAAGTTTTGATTAGATTTCTTCTGACCGATCAAATTGGTTCTCTACAGAATCGACTCACTTAGATCAGTTGCTTATGTCTTGGCATCATGGATCTTTGCTGCAAAACATTTCACTGCAAATTTTACACTCAAACACACAACATGTTACACAAAATGTTTAAAAGGTAAGACTTTAAAGGTATACTTAAAATTTCAGCAACTAAAATTCAGGATGAAAATAATTGAAACATGTTTTTTTAAGAGGTTCAAAGTGAGAAATGTAACATAAGCTAAAGGAGAAATCCAATTTGTCAACTGGACAAAAGTTTATTTAATACGTTTAGCAGTTCATCCAAGCTGCTTTTTCAGTTCTGGTTGGATGCTGATGGACACTTCCTTATATCTGTCTGCAGGGAGGAGCTAACTACACTGAAATTACTCTGAAACACACCCACTTGTTTACAGTTTCTGTTAGTTAGGCCTATTGAACTTGCACTGAGTGTGGGGTCATATTAGCAGAATCATTCAGGGACATAATTGAGCTTTCACATCTCTGGGCCTGACCTGGCTTTCCCTGTTGTTTTGTTTGTTTGTTTTGATTTAGGTTTGTGGATGGAGTTGTAAATAGGTGATAGATGGTGTCTGAGTCCCTCATTTTCAGTTTTTTCCTAACAAAAATAGCTTAATAACTCCCCTCTCAAACCAATTCTCCTCTCTGGCTAAGATGTGTATCTCACTATCTTCAAAGGAGCGGCCTGTAGCTTATTTTAATTTGCCAAAGATGTTCATTTTGTCTTCCTATATACTTTAAAAAGAACTTTAAAAAGAACCCAAGAAGTTATTTTAATTTGACCAAATAAACTTTTGTCCAGTTCACAAATTGAATTTCTCCTTTTGCCATGGATTCTACCTGGAAGACTGAGGGATTTTACTCAAATCTAGTGGTATTTAAAATTCTAAGTCTGATGAAACACATGATCTTACATTATTATCTCAAGTGTCGTAACGTTGGCTTGTAAACCAACCAATCAAGCATAATGTTGTGATTATGTCAAAATGCAACCTCATTAAACAAACTGATATACATGAGAGATATTACCGCCTTTACAAAGACTGGGCATATTTAGTACAACTCTCTTACTTACTTGTCTGCTTCTAAAATAGCAAGATGATCACCTAATACTTCTTAGTCACTATCTTATTTGTCAAACTGTTGGGTTGAATGTTAGCTGTTGTACACTAGTTGTTGAAATGAGTTTTATGGTCCACAGTCTTGGGCAGATGCATTTCGGAGCACCCCTTCTCTGTCTGGGGTGGTACATGTGTATGATGATCTGCGGAGACGAGGTTTGGAGTTCCCCATGACGGACCTGGACGCTCTCTCTCCCCCATCCACACTCCCACCAGGGTGAGTTCCACACAGTGTTTTTGGTTTTCCTCCAACACTAACCCTAACCCTTCACTTCTTTTTTTCCACTTGCTAAATAATGTAATCGTTGAGACTTGACAAACTGTCCTATATTACGCAAAATTGACTCATGTGAGTTTTAAGCCAAGTTATAATGTTGTTACCTCATCAAAAATATATGTGGAGTTGTGTTTTGTTTCATTCACACATGTTTCTTTATAATTACTCTGTCTACATCTGGAAAGCTCAAAATGCTCTCTTCCACCTTATGATGTGTGATTTTACCTTTTGTCAGTGTTGGGGAGTAACAGATTACATGTACCGGAGTTACATAATCAGAGTACAAATTATGAGTAACTGTATTCAGTTACAGTTACTGTTTCAGTGAGTGATAATTGGATTACAGTTACTTTGTTGAAATAAATTACACGGTGGTATTTTCCTGTTTTCACATTTTGAGCTATATCCCCCTTTTTTTTTTTTTTTTTTCTGTAATTCCACTCATTGCCGGAAGCTAAACCAGGTCTGAACCAGGTCTAAACTAGATCTAAACTAGATCTAATTAAGGACTAAACCAGGACTAAAACCAGCTCTAAACTACATCTAAACTAGATATAAACCAGATCTAAAACCAGACCTAAACCAGGTCTAAACCAGGACTAAACTAGATCTAAATCAGGACTAAAACCAGCTCTAAACTAGATATAAACTAAATCTAAAACCAGATCTAAAACCAGGTCTAAAACCAGGTCTAAACCAGGTCTAAACCAAGACTAAACCAGGACTAAACTAGACTAAACTAGATCTAAATCAGGACTAAACCAGGACTAAACTAGATCTAAACCAGGTCTAAACCAGGACTAAACCAGGACTAAACAAGATCTAAACTAGATCTAAATCAGGACTAAAACCAGTTCTAAACTACATCTAAACTAGATATAAACCAGATCTAAAACCAGATCTAAAACCAGGTCTAAAACCAGGTCTAAACCAGGTCTAAACCAGGTCTAAACCAGGTCTAAACCAGGTCTAAACCAGGACTAAACTAGATCTAAACTAGATCTAAATCAGGACTAAACCAGGACTAAAACCAGCTCTAAACTAGATATAAACCAGATCTAAAACTAGGTCTAAACCAGGACTAAACCAGGACTAAATCAGGATTTAACAGGACTAAATCAGGCTGCGTGGACATGTCTCCTTCTCTTCTATCAATAATATTTTTAATTTGGTTCAGTAAAGTCTGTTTTTTTTTATTGTCTTTTACCAGACAAAACGTATGTGAAGATTTCCTCGTCTTTGCTTCTCTACAGCAAATCAAGTAATCCAAAGTATTCAGATTATGTTACTCACTTTAAGTAATTTAATGGATTCCGAAACTACATTTTGAGGTATGTAATCTGTAATCTGTAGGGCAATAGATTTTAAAAGTAACCTTCCCAACACTGCCTTTTGTTCAGTAGAGATTCACAATTCCAGGGCTAAAATCATCCAAATGATTGAAGTGAAGGCGTATGGAGTTTAAAAGCACAGTGGAGCACAGGTGGAAGACAGTGTTTTCATTTTAAGAGAAGCTGCAAGATTTGTGTGTTAAACATGCGTGAATGAAACAAAACACAATTCTAGATCTGTTTTTCACAAGGAAACAACATGATAACAGATTAAAAATAGGGGCTATTTAATGACATTTCTCAGGGTGACATCTAGAAAGACTTTTTGGTTTAAGTTAAGTTTAGTTTTCCACCTTGAATCCACTCAAAACAGATTATTGTTTTGCCCAAGAGCACAATAACAGTATTCATTTGAGAGAGCAAGAGAAATACTGGACACGGAGCCGCTTGCTGTTACAGTGTTGTGACATTTTCTGTTACCTGCTGTTATTTCTCCATCAGTTTCCAAAACAGGAACTGATTTCAAAGTGGGATTAAAGTGTGCTTTAAAATCACTTTCTCAGACAATAAGCAGCACAACTTCCCCCTCACTGGTTTATCTTTTAATTATTACATCCATTTTATACTATTTTATACCTATGTGCTTTTGAATTTCCCTTCATAAAACAATATAGCACTGATGATTTTATGTTACATCAAAAAATAAAAAGGGAAATGTAAGGTATTAAAGGGTCCATATTACGCTGTTTTCTAATCTATGTTATAATATTGTTTCCTCATCACAAACACACCTGGAGTCGTGTTTGTTTCATTCACACGTTTAACACATAAACACATATTTAGGCTGAGTTCTTCTCTCAAACTGAAAACACTCTGTTCCACCTCGTGATGTCAGGTAGTACTCCACTGTGTTTTTAAACTCCATATGCCTTCACCAGAATCATTTAAATAATTTCAGACCTGGAATTACCAATCTCTGTTAAACAAAAGCTAAAAGGGTAAATGTTAACTTCAAAAACTACCGCTTCTTGACATCCCAAGGTGGAGCAGAGCATTTTGCGCTTTGGAGATGTAGACAGACTAATATAAAGAATTATTAAAATGTGTGAATGAAACAAAAGACAACTCCAGGTCTATTTTTGATGAAGTAACAGCACTCTTACATGGCTTAAAGGTTGTATGGAGGATTTTTTTTTGTTTCAAACTGTCAATGAAAGTTTAAAATACCAGTACAGAGACGCAGCAGCCTTGTAAATATAATGACCAAAAAAAAAAAAAAGAAAATCTATCAACTGTGGACGTAGTGAGGCCCAATAAACATCAACCAATAGATAACGAGGCTCCCTCATTTTCTATTGGCTGTTAGGTTGTCAATCAAACTCCCTACGTTTCTAGTGTAACTGACTCGCCGGCGCGCGGGGATTACGTGGTTTATGCAGCGGTTCTTAGAGGATTTTTAAACTGTCGCTTCCTCGCAATTCGCACAAAGTTTGTTGCGATGGAGGACGAGAATCCACGACAGGTTCGCCGCAAAAAAAAGTCCGTTTTCGAGGTCGCTGAAAGAAGAAGAGAAGGGGAAAAGGAGCGAAGACAAACTGAGGTGATTCTTGGAGATCTCTTCCAGTGACGGCGCGAATGAAGCAGACGAAGGGTCTAAAAACTGATTCGTCGGTCGCTAAATTATTTCTAGACAGGTCACTTCAACAGTAATTCTGAACGCGCACAGGCTGTAAACAAGCGTGATTTCTAGAGTAAGGAGGCGGGAGGAGGTGTTTCTGTATTTCTCTTTCCTTAAAAAAATCCTCTGTACAACCTTTAATCTCAATTTTAGACCTTTAATAATCTTATAATTATAACACAATAATGTCATTGATCCTCAGAGTATCCCTGAAAATGGAACCCATGACGTGACTCCGCCCACAACTCACCCTACAGTGACAGAACCTCGGCAAACTCCGCCCAGTCAGAGTGCTGCACCTACAGTTCGACACAATGATGGACCAGTTTCTCTCTCTGCAGAACAGGTGAAACTAATACAGACACAGCTAAAATAAATCTCACAGCAAGGCATTATTTTCATAGAAAGAGCAAATGACAAAAGCCTTAAATGCTGTAATTACTACCACAAATTTAAAGTATGTTGTACGCAAATTATTTAAGATCCTAAATCATGCAAAATTCACTCTTTTGCAATGTCATAAAGGTGTTACATTCTCGAAAACATACCCAGAGTTGTGTTTTGTTTCATCCGCACATATTTGAGCAATACTTTATCATTAGTCTATCTACATCTTCGAAGGTTGAAATGCTCTGTTCCACCTTGTGATGTCATGAAGTGGTAGTTTTCAAGTTAACAGCTACGTTTTTACCTTTTAGGTTTAGTAGAAATGGGCAGTTACAGAGCTGAAATTATCCAAATAATTCAAGTGAAGGTGCACGGAGTTTAAAAACACAGTGAAGCCTGTATTATCACATGACATCACAAGGTGGGACAGTGTGTCTGTGAAACAAAACAAAGCTCTGTATGTTTTTTGTATGTTTCTGATGATGAACCATTATAACATAGATCAGAAATAGTGCAATATAGGCCCTTTAAATTATGAAAAGGAGACTCGTGAAATGACCCAGTGATTGCAGAGGTATTTACCATTTGATGAAAACATTTACAGTTTGACTCAAGATTCTGGCTACCTTATACAACACATCTTTTATAATGTTCTGAACAAAAAGACCTGAGATTAATGCTTGTAATTTTACTTGAATTATTATTTGTTTTTGAATCTAGGGGCAGAAACTTCGGAATGAGTTAGCGCTGGTGAAGGGGAACCTCACTGTCATGTCGGAAATGTTGAACGAGATGATCCCAGGACAGAGCAAGGCAGATGATACAGATCTACTGCAGGTGAGCAGCTATCACCAATATCAAAGGTACATTTAGTTCACACACTGCCTAGTACAGTGGCTGTGGGTGGACTTTAGGTGTTTGGAACCACTTTAGGAAATATGTAAGTTTGGACTAGAACGCACAGTAATCAAGACTGAATTGCTTTAACTTTACTTTTATTTTAAACGCTCCTTGTGTATCTTTTCTGGTGGAGGGTCCGTTAAGTGTTTTTCTTCATGGAGATGTTATTGCTTTGTTTGGAATGTTTCACAGTATGGCATTAAACCTTTCTGTCATCACGGAAACCAAACCAGGCCAAGTTACAGGTCAGATCTGTGGACTGGCAAATCTCACAGTCAGAGTGCCTGTTTTTTCTAGGTATTTCTGAACTATAAAACCACCTGTAATTGAATACCTGTAAGGTAGAGCTGCTTAACGTTATAGTGCAGAACATTCCAGCAGGTGACGGACCCCCAACCAAAAAGTTACATAGTGCACCTTTAAATTAAAGTGAGACATCAGGTGAATATCAAAAAATCTACTTACTGTATATACTGATATACTGTAGTTTTGAAACTTGTCCTGTAGTTTACTTACACACAATAAATACTGACCCCCCAAAATATCGTTCCAGCTTTCATATACTGAACGATAAGTCGATATATAATTATGGTGACAGGTCTTAAGCCAACAGTTCAGCAACCCATAGGAGCCTTATCACGCATATTTTTGCACTCGCTGTATATTGTCATTTAAAAAAAAAAAAGTAAAAGTATCACATGAAGAAATCTACTTAAGTAAAAGTTTTTGGGGTTATTTTTGCACGCATCTTTAGGACTTATGAAGCTTCAAATGTAGTGATTTCGACAGATTTGTGCTGAATTTTGTATTATTTTTATTATTATATTTTATTATACAGAATTAATAATTTTTTATATAACAGTTTTTCTTTGTATATTTTTATTTGCTCAGATGATGAGCGTGTTAAAAATAAATCCCTCTGCCATTTCTGCAGGTCTCAAGCAATAATAAAAATACTTTTACTTCGCAGTCCTGTTCAAAATTGTACAGATAAACTCTTTCAAATAGAGTGAAGTAAAAGCAGAGAGAAGAATCCAATTTAAAGTATACTTAAGTAAAGTGCAGATACGTAAAAATTCTATTTAAATACAGTACTTTTACTTTGTCATGTTCCACCACTGGTTTTGCAGCAGAGATAATACATGCACTTCCCAATAGAAAATCAGGCTCAACACGCCCACAGATTGCAGATGCTCTTTTAAGTTTATTCTCACAGTTTAGAGCACGGAATGATAATGAGGCCCAAATTATACTTTTCCTATTTAATTTTCCTGTTCTCTGTTCTCTCTGAGCAGCAGCTGTATTCTGTGTGTAAGAAGATGCAGCGTCGTGTAGTGGAGCTCATCCCCCAGATCGTGGATGAAGGATTTGTGGAAGAATTACTGGTTGTCAATGACGACCTCAACAATATATTTATACGCTATGAAAGGTGTATATTGATGTAGTATAACTCATGTTTGCCCCAATCAAATGTCAGTATCAAACATGTTAATTCAACTGCTGTGTTTCAGATTTGACAGGATGAACAAAGCACAGTCCAGTAATAATCAAGAACAACAGGTAAGACAATGTGTAGAAGTAAGAAGCCATTACATTTTATAGGTTTAGTTCAGAGAGCATTTTATTGTGATCATAAAGGTGTGTGTGTTGAAATGCGACTGCAAAACATAATGAAACTGATTCCTGATTTCACAATTTACTGAATGTCTCCTTCACTATACTTAAGATAATGATGGTAAGGGTACACAGAATCAGTTTTTTACAGTTTTGATACCAACTTCGATTCGCTTTAAAGGTGCGTCGTGTAAAATTTGTGGTGGAGGGTTCGCCATCTGTTTGTCTCCATAATGATGTTATTGTTTCACCAAGGATGTTCTGCAGTATGGCATAAAAAATCTATCTTGCGCTTATTCGATTAGAGGAGTCTTTGTTTCTCAAAACTAAAACTAAAACATGCATTCTTACTGTGCACAGGCTCACTTTTCCAAAGATCTGACCTGTAACTTGGCCTGGTAATGTCACTGCTGGTCTCCAGGAGATAGTTAAATTAAATACCATGCTGTAGAACATTTCAGAAAGAAAAAAAAAAAACTATAGTGAAGCAGGTGGTGGACCCTCTACCAGAAAAGTGTTACGCAATGCACCTTTAAAGGGACAGTCCAGAATTTTGGACATAGGATCTCATTTCCTAGTGAGCCAGAGTGAGCCAGAGTGTTGGAGACATGTGGAGACACTTTTTAAAATATTCCATCCAGTCCTTGTATTTGCAGAGGTCGCTGGTGCTAGGCTAGTGCATGTCAATGGCCATAGTTATCCTGCCACTAAAAACAGTCTTACCCACTCCACAAAACACCCGAAGAAAATCTATTATTACACCAGACTGTCACTGTAACTATCTGTGTCGATAGAATAATGTTTGAAATAAAACTAACCTTGCATCGCATGTTTGAAGGCCTATTTTCTCAGCAGTAGCAGAATTTTACTTTGCCAGTAAGATAGGTGCTAGGTCAGGGGTGGGCAAACTTTTTGGCTCGGGGGCCACATAGGGTTCTAAAATTTGACTGAAGGGCCGGACAGAAGACGGAACATGACGTGTTCAGAGCCCGGCTCCATTGCACTCGTATTTACTCTCATGTAGGACATATTCTGCACTGCAACGTTTAGACATGTAAGTTCCAGAATTCATGAAAAGTGAAACGAGGTCTGCCCCACTGTACACCAAAGAGGACATTCTAACGCGCAGTCTAACCAAAACCCCAAGAACCTTCTAAAACAGTGTATATAAGTTTTATGATTTTGTTTTTACACAGAGTTAAAGTGGAAACAGTGCAGTCTTATGTCTTGAACACTTCTACCTCATTCATGGTCCAAATACACCGCCCGAAATGACTCCTGTCAATACTTTCCCATAAACCATTGCGGCCAACAAAAGACGCCGCACCTCAATGTATATATAGTGCGCCATCTACCGGGAAACGCCGGAAATGCAAGAAAGATAAAACAGCAGTAAGGTTTATTTATTATAATTTGGTCAAGTTCTGTGGGTCAGTTTGAATGGCTGCATAAGGTCACTAGCCAAGCCCCCAGGTTCCAAAATGGCCGCCCATTCAAGTCAATGGGCTGAGCTCAATGGCGCATGATCCCAGATTAGCCTAGCATGGCTAGGTACTTCCGGTGGCTGTGGGCCGACCGAGCATGCGCAGTAGTGCTCTTTTCTCCCACGGGCACACGCGGCAACACGCACGGAGCGCGGGCTCGTGTATCACGTGATCGTTTTGACCAATCAGAGCGAGAGGAGCGGAGCAGGAGCTAACGAATATAAAGCGCTTTTTTAAGACAACTGAAGGAGTGAGAAAAAGTTTATGATCTAAAAATAGGTAAAAATCGCCAACAAATCCGATAATTTTGAAAGCTGTAGATGACCTGTCAGACGAACACGAGCAGTTTGTGATCACATTGCCTCTATGAGAAAAATCTAGTCCCCGCCCATTGGATTTCTTCTGCTGAAATTCCAGTGAGTGACCATTACAACAACTGGAGGCAGGTAGCTCGCTCTACCCTTCCAGTAGCATTTATCATAAGCGTTCACCTCCCACTGAATCACTCAAGCACCGAGGTGATGATATGAGACTTGCGAGACATCGCCCCATAGAATAAGTATCTTAAACTCCATGTCGTCTTGCGTTTAGCGACATAAAGATATACTGTAATTTTTACTTTACACGCATTTAGCACAGAATTAGTGCATTCTTATGTCTTGAACACTTCTACCTCATTCATGGTCCGAATACACCGCCCTGTCAATATTTTCCCATAAAGCATTGCGGTCAACAGAAGCCGCCGCACCTCAATGTATATATAGTGCGCCGTCTACTGGGAAACGCCGGAAATGCAGGAAAAATAAAAAATTAGCAAGGTTTATTATTATTATTATTTATTCAAGTTCGGCGGGCTGGATTGAAAGGTTTAAAGCAGGGATGGGCAAACTACGGCCCGGGGGCCATATGCGGCCCTTTAAACCTTTTAATCCGGTCCGCCGAAATTGAATAAATAATAATTATAAACCTTGTTAATGTTTTATTTTTCCTGCATTTCCGGGATTTCCCAGTAGACGGCGCACTATATATACATTGAGGTGCGGCGGCTTCTGTTGGCCGCAATGCTTTATGGAAAAGTATTGACAGGGCGATGTATTCGGACCATGAATGAGGTAGAAGTGTTCAAGACATAAGACTGCACTAATTCTATTTAAACTGTGTACACGGGAAATCCCAATGTTGTATTGCGAAGATCTTGAGACACATGATACAACAATTAAAAGCACAAGAACCACTCAATGTGATGGTGAACTATACAATTTGTAATGATATGTGATTAAGACAGCTGTTGTGAACATATTAGTATAACTGTATACAATGTCGCTATCCTACTGTAGCTGTCTCCAGTTGTTGTAGTGGTCACTTACTGGAACTTCAGCAGAAGAAATCCCATGGGCCGAGACAAGATTTTTCTCATAGAGGCAATGTGATCACAAACTGCTCGTGTTCGTCTGACAGGTCATCTACAGCTTTCAAAATTATCGGATTTGTTGGCGATTTTTACCTATTTTTAGATCATAAACTTTTTCTCGCTCCTTCAGTTGTCTTAAAAAAAGCGCTTTATATTCGTTAGCTCCTGCTCCGCTCCTCTCGCTCTGATTGGTCAAAACGATCACGTGATACACGAGCCCATGCTCCGTGCGTGTGGTCGCGTGCATTCGCGTGTGCCCGTGGGAGAAAAGAGCACTACTGCGCATGCTCGGTCGGCCCACAGCCACCGGAAGTACCTAGCCATGCTAGGCTAATCTGGGATCATGCGCCATTGAGCTCAGCCCATTGACTTGAATGGGCGGCCATTTTGGAACCTGGGGGCTTGGCTAGTGACCTTATGCAGCCATTCAAACTGACCCACAGAACTTGACCAAATTATAATAAATAAACCTTACCGCTGTTTTATCTTTCTTGCATTTCCGGCGTTTCCCGGTAGATGGCGCACTATATATATATACATATATATATATATATATATATATATATATATATATATATATATATATATATATATATTGTATAAAAGACATTTAGTCTTGTTATATATTAGTTGTTGTTTGTTGTTATACTCTTTTCTCACCACAAGAGGGGTGCGCCTGCACACCGAGTGAGTCACGAACTCTTGAGTCAGTATAGCGGCGTGACGGTCAGTGCATCGGCTGTGTTTCGGACACTTTAATGTCTGAATGATAGTGTGCGTCCTTTAGACGTGAGTATTCTGGTGTGATTATGAGTGGTATTATGTTCAAAGTTTGTAGCTGTTGTTTGACTGTGTTTTGTGCAGTTTAGAAATCTTTGTGCGTGACTTTCGTTTTGTATTGCTAGCTAGCCTCGTGTCTGTGTAATTGCGCATTGTGTGTACGTTAGAATACCGTTTTTTCCTTTACTTCACAAACCCCAGTAACCATCTGTTATATATATATATGCAGTTTCCTTTGTATTAAACCTGGGTAATTTGATTTGGATCTGTTTACATCTAAACTGCACCGAACATATTGGCCCCCTATCGGCCACTTTGTAGTTTGCAGTATTGTGTAAATAATCACAATCAACCACCATTTTGATCTATTACTGATATATTGTTTGTATTTGTTTGTTCTTTCTCCTGTAGAGAACCACACACACACACGTGTTTCAGCACGCAGACATTAAAGAAACGTTCAACATTACCTGGATGTGGACTCCCTCATTTTAACTCACCAGAACGTCTATAATTGCTGTCCTGACCCGACACCCTGTAGTGATTGCTAGCCAGCACTCCAGTTTTCTCATATTATACAATCCTCATTACAATTTTGGTCCTTCGAGCCGGATAAGCAACCACTGCAGTCAAGATGTTCAGGCCACATGAGAGAGAAGCCAATGAGGAACGCCCACACAGATACAGGCAGCGGCCATCATATCTCCAGGACTACGAGGTCGGTTACCCTGGGAGGTCCCGTTTTCCTGAGGATGAGCACACCAGGCACATATCTTCTCCAGAAATAATCAGATCATTCAAGAGCATGAGAGAGGAGAATGACCGGCTGCGCCGAGATGTCCAACGGCTGGCAGACATGATCCATAGTGCTCCTACAGTGTCTTCACGGCCTGCGTCACTGCCCAAGCGCCAAGAGGAAACATCTGCCACACCAGCACCTACAAACCAGCAGACGCCCATCAGAGGTTTTCAAGGCCCACGTCAGCCTGTAAGTGCCCCTCCGGTGATCAGAGATGTTTCTCCTGCTCCTGTCGGTCGACATGCCATAGTAGAGTCCCTCAGACAGCGCCTGCAGGAAACAGGATTATCAGATCAAGCAGAGGCACCAGACACTGCTGGCACTTCAGATCGTCTCCCCAAGGGTGAATATGGACGGGAAGACATTCCTGAGAGCCCATCGCTTTCAGAGCAGTCACGTCACCAAGATGACAGAGGCTCTCCCCCACGTGGTAAAGCTCACCACCAACCTGAGTGGCCTGATAGCAAGCCTTGCTTCAAGTCTGAGGAGCAATATGATCGCTATTCTGGCCACCCCCATCGCCGTGATGACAGGTACCACCCTCGTTATGACTCTTCTCCACCCCGTCAGAGTCATCCAAGATCCAGTAATGAGTACAGTCGTCCTGCTCCATCTTATCGCCACAGTAGTCTAAGAGCTCACCCTGACAGCCGCTACTATGGGTATGAGAGGGGGTACTCATCTAGTTACAGAGACCATCCCGATGACTCCGGCCCTGCATATTATGAGAGTAGACAACGAGAGGGCAGACACTCACCTGATCCATCATATTCATCATCACGTAGCCACTCTCCATACAGGAGGGCACCAGCTCGCGAGATGTATCGCGGACCCAAGCCAACAATCCCAGACTTCAAGTCAGAAGACCCACGGGAGTTTGCTAGATTAAAGCTGGCCCTGGACAATTTATTGCCATATGATGCATCAGAGCACTTCAAGTTTCAAATACTCACTGATCATCTCAAATGTGAGGAAGCACTGCTCATTGCTGACTCCTACAGCAACAGTCATTACCCATTCACAGACACTATGATGGCGCTCACAGAGATGTATGGTCAACCTCAGCAGCTAGCATTGAAGAGGATCTCCAATGTGATGGATGGGCCCAACATAAGAACTGGGGACATTAAAGCCTTTAAGTCATTTGCTCTTCAGATCCGTGCACTGGTTGGGATGCTACACCAACTGGGTAATCAGGGCTGGACTGAACTGCAGTGCGGCTCACACGTCTCTCGCCTCTTAGCTAAGTTACCACATGACCTAAGAGCTAACTTCCACAGATTTGTGAACCCTATCTCCACTCCCATCCCTACACTCCTCGACCTGGCTGACTGGCTCGAATATGAGGTGAGAGTTCAAGTTAGTGGAGATCAACATGTCAGTAACCCATCCAGGGAGAGATCAGCTCCATCCAAGAGCCAACGCCCCGCTTTCAGGTCTCAGAGATCCACCACCATTCTCCTTGGCAGTGAATCAGACACAATAAAGAAAGCAGCTATTTCTCCCACTCCAGCACAGAGAGAGGGTACACAAGATAAGCCTAAAAAGTACTGTCCCTTCTGCGACACAGGGCAGCACTATTTCAACCAGTGCAGCAACTTCAAGCTCCTGTCAGTGGAGCAGAAGACACAGTGGATCAAGACAAACAATCGCTGCTGGAGATGTGGACGTGAGCACCTGGCCGCCAAGTGTAACCTCAAGGCCAAGTGCAAGCAGTGTGAGAGGAAACACCTGGACATTCTCCATGAAGTTAACACCAGCCAGAATGCCACGGCAACTGGTAAGCCCCCAGCACCTGAAGCCAGTACATGCCTTGTGAGTTCTGCGTCAGAGACTCTATACATCGACCGCCCAGCCAGCAGCCACCAAGTGTTACTGAAGCTGAGTCGAGTCATCCTCCAAAGCGGTGACCAGCTACTTGAAACTTATGCCATACTGGATGATGGGTCCGAGCGCACCATACTCCTGAATGATGCTGCTATTCAGTTAGGTCTTCAGGGGCAGGCTGAAGAACTCACACTCCGCACAGTCCGACAGGAAATCTGCTCCATTCAGGGAGCAACTGTATCCTTCACAGTGGCTTCTGCTTCAGAACCGGAGAAATGCTACAAGATCAACAAAGCCTTCACTGCCAGAGAACTGAGCCTAGCCCACCAGACCTACCCAGTCCAAGCTCTGCAGGACAAATACCGTCACCTGAGAGACATTCCCCTGCCCGCTATCAAGGATGCCCAACCGCTGCTGCTGATTGGGTCAGATTATCCTCATTTGATAACTCCAGTGGAACCAGTGCGTCTTGGCCCCCTCGGCGGACCTGCAGCAGTGCGCACTAGATTAGGATGGACTCTACAAGGCCCTACAAGCTTGCTATGTCATCAACTGTCCCCACAACAGTGCCTTTTCACCATCTGCAACCCTCCAGAATCTGAGCTTCTCAAACATGTGGAGAAGCTGTGGCAGTTGGATATCTTGCCATACAGGAGTGAGCGTCTGATTACCAGGTCAAGGCAGGATGCAGAAGCCGTTCGCATATTGGAGAAGAAGACCACAAGAGTAATGGTGGATGGTGTTAACAGGTATGCGACTCCATTACTCTGGAAACAAAACCTCTCTCCTCTCCATGCGTCAAAAAGAGGCAGTGCTGGCTCAGTTACGCGGAACAGAAAGACGCCTTGTGAGAGACCCAGAGAAGGCAGCTATCTACTCCAGAGAGATCCACAAGCTCATTGATGCTGGATATGTCAAAGCCATTTCTCCTGCCAAAGCTGAAGAGAGTGACTATTCATGGTTTATTCCCCACCATATGGTGCAGCACAATCAGAAACACAGAATTGTCTTCAACTGCTCCTTCACATCCAATGGACAGAGTCTGAACGACAACCTCCTTCCCGGGCCTACCCTTGGAGCCAGTCTTTTGGGGTTCTACTCAGGTTCAGAGAGCACCCGGTGGCCATCAGCAGCGATGTGAAAGGAATGTTTCACCAAGTCCGCCTATTAGAAGAGGACAAACCATTCCTTCGCTTCCTGTGGAGAGATGTTAAAGTAGACCAAGAGCCAACCATCTATGAGTGGCAGGTGCTCCCGTTCGGCACAACATGTAGTCCATGTTGTGCCACATTCGCACTCCAGATTCATGTTCAAAGGCACACTGAACCAGAAGAAGATGCCCGTCTGTCAGTTGAACGTTGCTTTTATGTTGACAACTGTCTACAGAGCCTCCAGTCTCAAGAACAAGCCAAGCAGTTGGTCAACCGCCTGCACACACTACTGAAAGAGGGTGGATTTGAGCTGAGAGAGTGGGCCAGCAACGTTCCCACTGTGATCCAACATCTACCCAATGAATCCTGCTCTGAAAACAGTACTCTCTGGTTCACACAGCAAACAGCAGACCCTCAGGAACGCACCCTTGGACTCTTGTGGCAGTGCAAATCCGACACACTGCATTATAAACAGCACCAGTGTGAGTTTCCAGAACTTACCATGCGGAACATCTACCGCCTACTTGCCCAACAGTATGATCCGCTAGGATACATCATTCCCTTCACAACCAGAGCTAAGGTCATTGTGCAGCGTTTGTGGGACAAGAAAAGAGGATGGGACGATCCAAACCTTCCCGAAGATCTGCTGCAGGCCTGGAAAATATGGGAGGAGGAGCTGCCACAGTTGTCACATGTTATGTTGCCCAGATGCTATACCAGCCCTGGCATGGACTGTAGTACCAGCAGCAGGACCATACATGTCTTCTGTGATGCGTCTGAACGTGCTTATGGCTCTGTGGCGTACCTGCGGACAGATTGGGGTGACGGACAGGTTCAAGTGGCATTCCTAGCTGCCAGATCGAGAGTCGCCCCAAAGAAGCAGCTCTCAATACCCCGGCTCGAGCTTTGTGGGGCTTTAACGGGAGCACAGCTAGCTTCAGTGCTAACCAAAGAGCTCACGGTCCAGATCCAAGCAGTGGTTTACTGGACCGACTCCACCACAGTCCTGAACTGGCTCCAGTCAGACTCCTGCAGATATAAAGTGTTCGTGGGCACAAGAGTAGCAGAAATACAGGAGCTGACAGACATTCATGCCTGGCGCTACATTGATTCTGTCTCAAACCCTGCGGACGACATCACAAGAGGGAGAACACTGACGCAACTCGCTGGAGAGAACAGATGGAGTCATGGACCCCCCTTTCTCCTACAACCATCTGACCAGTGGCCAGAGAAGCCGGTTAATCCAGTCACAGAAGAGCAAGATGAGCTGCGGAGCACTGTGTTTTGTGGCCTAACCAGTTCTGCAGATCCAGTTGTACCTGACGTCCAGCAGTTTAAAACATATCAAGAGCTGTTAGATGCCACAGCACAAGGGCTACACGGGGCGGCTGATAAAACGCCTCTCACTGCTGACGACTACCATGAGGCAGAGTTAGCTCTCCTGAGACATGCCCAGACAGAGAGCTTCCCAGAAGAAGTGGCCCTGCTCAGAGCTGGTAAGCCCCTCTCTTCCACTAGCAGATTACTAACATTGTCTCCTGAATATGACAGATCTTCCAGCCTGGTCCGTGTTGGTGGCAGACTTAGAAGATGTGACACTCTGAACCCAGACATGCTGCACCCCATACTCCTGTCAGCCTCTCACCCAATCTCCAAGCTCCTGATTCAGCGCTACGATAGCCAGCTGCACCACCCTGGAGCTGAGCGTGTGTTTGCAGAGCTGCGCCGGAAGTACTGGATACTGAGGGGCCGAGAAGCAGTTAAGAAACACCAACATACCTGTGTGGACTGCAGGAAGTGGAGAGGCACCCCTCAAGTGCCCAAAATGGCTGACCTACCACCCTCCAGTCTGAGGCTCCTTCAAACCGGCCTTTTATTCTACAGGTGTCGACTGTTTCGGACCTATGCTTGTGAAAATAGGCCGACGCACTGAGAAGAGGTGGGGCATTTTGTACAAGTGCCTCACTACACGAGCCATTCACCTGGACCTCTTGCCCAACATGGACACAGACTCATTTCTGATGTCACTCAGACGCTTCATCGCTCGCAGAGGGAAACCCCATGAGCTCCTCTCTGACCAGGGCACTAATTTCAAAGGAGGAAGCAAGGAGCTGCATGAAGCCTTTCTCGCTCTGGAACCTACTTTAAAGGAACAACTAGCAGCACAACAAATTCGCTTCCGGTTTAATCCACCCAACGCGCCACATTTTGGTGGTTCATGGGAGCGCGCGAGGTGAGATCTGTGAAGAGCGCTCTCCGCACCACTCTAGGAGATCAGTCAGTGCCAGATGAGGTGCTGAGGACAGTCCTCATTGAGGTAGAGGGAATTCTCAACTCTCGGCCCCTGGGTTACGTGTCCTCTGACCTCGCTGACCCCGATCCTGTCACACCTAACTGTTTGCTGATGGGGCGGCCGGACTCATCCCTTCCTCAGGTGGTTTATCCTGAGTCAGCGCTGTTAACCCGTAAAAGGTGGCGTCATTCACAAGTTTTAGCGGATCACTTCTGGAAGAACTTCATTCGGCACTTCCTGCCCACATTACAATCACGGCAGAAGTGGCAGACAGAGAAAGACGACATTACTGTGGGCACAGTCGTGCTCATTGTGGACCAGCAGATTCCCAGAGCTCTCTGGCAGGTGGGGACAGTAAAAGCTGTGATTCCTGGAGCAGACGGCAGAGTGAGGACGGCTGTTGTTCAAGTAAAGGACCGGACCTACACTCGCCCAGTTGTTCTTCTCATCAGGCTGCCAGCTTTACCCCAGGACAGTACAGTTACTTAGTGGTCAAATTTGCATAGCAAATTTGGGGGCGGCTGTATAAAAGACATTTAGTCTCGTTATATATTAGTTGTTGTTTGTTGTTATACTCTTTCTCACCACAAGAGGGGTGCGCCTGCACACCGAGTGAGTCACGAACTCTTGAGTCAGTATAGCGGCGTGACGGTCAGTGCATCGGCTGTGTTTCGGACACTTTAATGTCTGAATGATAGTGTGCGTCCTTTAGACGTGAGTATTCTGGTGTGATTATGAGTGGTATTATGTTCAAAGTTTGTAGCTGTTGTTTGACTGTGTTTTTGTGCAGTTTAGAAATCTTTGTGCGTGACTTTCGTTTTGTATTGCTAGCTAGCCTCGTGTCTGTGTAATTGCGCATTGTGTGTACGTTAGAATACCGTTTTTTCCTTTACTTCACAAACCCCAGTAACCATCTGTATATATATATATATATATATGCAGTTTCCTTTGTATTAAACCTGGGTAATTTGATTTGGATCTGTTTACATCTAAACTGCACCGAACATATTGGCCCCCTATCGGCCACTTTGTAGTTTGCAGTATTGTGTAAATAATCACAATCAACCACCATTTTGATCTATTACTGATATATGTTTGTATTTGTTTGTTCTTTCTCCTGTAGAGAACCACACACACACACACACGTGTTTCAGCACGCAGACATTAAAGAAACGTTCGACATTACCTGGATGTGGACTCCCTCATTTTAACTCACCAAAACGTCTATAATTGCTGTCCTGACCCGACACCCTGTAGTGATTGCTAGCCAGCACTCCAGTTTTCTCATATTATACAATCCTCATTACATATATATATATATATATATATATATATATATATATATATATATATATATATATACATTGAGGTGCGGCGTCTTCTGTTGGCCGCAATGCTTTATGGGAAAGTATTGACAGGAGTCATTTCGGGCGGTGTATTCGGACCATGAATGAGGTAGAAGTGTTCAAGACATAAGGCTGCACTGTTTCATCTTTTAATCTGCGTAAAAAACAAAGTCATAAAATTCATATACACTGTATTAAAAAGTCCTGAAGATTTGGTTACACTGTGCGTTAGCATAGGCTATGTAATATATACGTGGTCTGTTTAAATCCACGGGACACATGTTTGCCTTTGGTGTGCAGTGGGGCAGACCTCGGTTCACTTTTCATGAGTTCTGGAACTTACATGTCTAAAAGTTGCAGCGCGTAGTGCAGAATACGTCCTACGTGAGAGTAAATACGAGTGCAATGGAGCCGGGCTCTGAACATGTCATGTCCCGTCTTCTGTCCGGCCCTTCAGTCAAATTTTAGAACCCTATGTGGCCTCCGAGCCAAAAAGTTTGCCCACCCCTGGGCTAGGTGATATCACTCTGCCACTGCCAAGCTTTTTATCAGGAACTACAACTTACTGCTGCTGCTCAAACATGAATCCTTCAATTGCAAGGTTGGTTTTACTTCTAAAATTATTCTTTCAACACAGACATTCACATCAACAGTCTGGCGTAATAATTGTTTTACTTCAGGTGCTTTGTAGAGTGGGTAAAACTGTTTTTAGTGGCAGGATAACTATGGCCATTGACATGCACTAGCCTAGCACCAGCGACCTCTGCAAAAAACAAGGACTGGATGGAATATTTAAAAAAGTGTCTTCACACACGTCTCCAACACCGGCTAAGTAGGAAATGAGGTCCTATGTCCAAAATTCCGGACTGTCCCTTTAAATATTTGCCAATGCCAGATATCAACTGATATTATAACTGATGTTATAACTTATAAAAGTTATAACATTCTGAGACTTTCTGGTGAAACAGAGATCAATAAATAGTCTTTTTTCATTAGTTTAACCAGGATATTGTCTGAATCAATATTTGGAAGCCGATATCCAGCAAGATCCAGCAAATCTTTCCTAATTGGATCGGTGCATCCCTAAATTATGGTGTTTTTCTTTCAGAGTTGTGTCAGCAGTTTGAGCCTCATTGACTTCAGCCCTGAGTCTTCAAATCCCAGTGAACCTGCAGTTATCACAACAACCAGCCAACCTGCAGTCACCACCTCAGCAGCTCAGAGACAGACAGCCAACCACAGTGAGTTTTGTTGCATTTCATTCACACTTGTCCAAGATACAAATCCTCAAACAAAAAGCACTGTTCCACCTTGGGATCTCATGTGGTAATGCAAGAAGTATTTCGCTATGTTTTTAAACTCCATACACCTTCACTAGAATCATTTGGATAATTTCAGTCCTGGAATTTCCAATCTCTGCTGAACAAAAGGTAAAAGGAGCTGTTAACTTGAAAACTACCACTTCATGACTTAACAAGGTGGAGACTAACGATTAGAGATGTAACAATAACCAAAATATTGTGATATCGTATTGTCAAAGTTCTCACATCATGGACCATCACAATATATCGAATTACAATCCTCTTTGTTTAAAGAGTTATGGTGCAACAACAGCTGAAAAAAGACAGAGGGAACTACATAGACCATGATCCTTTGCTCCATTTCAGTGCAGACTACGTGAAGAAATAACAGTTCTAAGCACTTTTAAGTCTTAGTTCTTTGGATTAAGTCTTGTCAAGGCATTTTAAGAGAAAAAAGTTGCATATTAACAGCCTCCACAAAAGATCGCAATAAATATCGTACTGTGAGATGTATATCATGAAAATATTGTACAGAGAGATTTGGATATTGTTACATCCTTAATTGTGAGCCTCCCCACCATATTGTGAGCTTTCCCACGGTATCGCAATAAATATCATACCATGGGGTTCATAAAGTGAGACTTGGATATCGTTACACCCCTACTAACAAAAAAATGTGTGAATGAATCAAAACAGAACTCCAGGTATGTATTTGAGGAGGTAACCATATTCTAACAGGCCTAAAAGCTCACAAGTTAATTTTAATATAGGACCTTTAATTGCCTATGGTCAGGACGGCAAACTGTATTAAAATATTGCCAAAAGAACCAGTTTATTTTAAAATAGACCATGATTTTGGCTGGGTTTGTAAAATCATCAAATAAATGTAAATAAATAAAAATAAATGTATATTTCAAGTTATCTTCTTATCAACATATAAGACGTCGTACTATGCATTACTGTTTTATGTTCCTACCACACTTAATAGAGACATGTGATGGAAAATATGATTAATTATAGATTATTTATATAGATAGTCTGTATATTATTTCTATTTTTTTTCTCACAATGATGTCTCAGTGTGATTCATTCATAGACTTATTCTATATCTACATTCTGTTAGAGGTGATCGACCAGAGCCTCCCCCGTCATACCACAGTTGTGACGTCTCTTTAGAACAAGGGGAAAAATAAGGCATGGGTTTGGTCTACTACAATAGTGAAGTATTTTAGAAATGTCTATTGTTTTGTCCTACAGAGGTAGAAGAGGAGGAGTTTGACATGTTTGCCCAGACCAGAGGCAGCTCACTGGCTGAGCAGAGGAAAAGGTCAGTGTTATATGTGATTTATTTAATCTGATTTATTCAATAAAATACAATACAATTAGTGCTGTCATGCGATAAAAAAAATTGAGAGATTAATTAATTATGATCTGTAATTGATTAATCTAATTAATCTCTTTTTAATCTCACCTAAAAATTGCTGAGAAAAGCCTTCAATTTGAGGTATTTTCATTTAAATTCATTATTACATTATTGTGGCAGATCAAAAGATTAATATAGAACAAAAAAAATGACTTTATAAAGTCATTTATTGTTTAACAAATCTCCTCAAATTGGCTGTTGAGCCCAAGTCTCCATGAATAAGAAACTGTTTGTTGCAAAGTAGCAAAGACGAGGAAATCTGAACATAATAACTTTTGTCTACTTAAAGACAATAAAAAGTCCAGTCTTTCCTTAACCATATTAAAAATATTATTGATAGAGAAATGCTTTATATATGAAATCACTGGTTTTAGTCCTGGTTTAGACCTGCTTTAGTCCTACTTTAGTCCTAGTTTAGTCCTGGAATGGGCTAGTCCTGGTTTAGTCTTGGTTTAGACCTGGTTTTAGTTCTGGTTTTAGTTCTGGTTTAGTCCTGGTTTAGTCCTGGTTTGTCCTGGTTTAGACCTGGTTTAGTCCTGGACTGGGTTAGTCCCGGTTTTAGTCTTGGTGTTAGTTCTGGTTTAGAGGCGCACAAGAGGAAGCGCGGTTTACGCAGCGTACGCGAGAAAACGTACGCAGCGCACGGAAGGACAGCGGTGTCCACGCAGTAACTACGGAAGGAAACGTGGTCCACGCGTTCCCAGGTTAATGACGATGATGAAGGTGTGTGTTTGTGTGTGTTTGTGTGTGTTTGTGTGCGTGTCCCCTCATGTGGCAGGTCACTATAGGACAGTAGTGCAGACATCATGAGCCTATGCAGGTTGTTTTCACCAGTGACATTTAAGTTGTAGGCGATATTGATATTTAAAAAAAAGTTAATTTCAATTTTAAAAAATTAAAAATTTCATAACGCGCTAAATATGACTGTAATTAATTAATCGCAATTAACGCGATAATTTGACACTCCTAAATACAATACAATACAACAAGCTTACACAGAGAATACAACGCTTACACAGAGAATACAACGCTTACACAGAGAATATTACGCTGGTATGTATGCTATGTAACTTTTTGTTGGGGGCCTGTTTGTATGGATATGTCATTGCTCTGCCGGGAATGTTCCACAGTATGACATTAAACAGCTCTATCTTACATTTATTCAGTTACAGGTGCTTTTATGAGAAAAACAGGCATTTTATCTGTGAGCCAAGTTGCCTCTCCACAGATCTAACCTGTATCTTGATCTGATTTGGTCTCCATGAAGCTAGAGAGGTTTAGTACCATGTTGTGAGACATTCCAGAGAAAGCAATTACATCTCAGTGAAGAAAAGCGTTTGACTGACCCTCCACCAAAACAGTTACACAGTGCATCTTTAAATACTATAACTATAATTATGGGTCTAAAGATTTATATTGGACTTCTGACAGTGTAAAATTGGTCATTATAATCCAAAAAAATCAAGTTTTTCAAAAACCAAAATAGTCTGTATTTCCTGTAAAATACACTACATCTGTTGGTGTGGTTTATTTGGCACTGGCTTTCTCCCAAACTACAGTGCTGCCCTGTGATTTGTCAGTCTGTGAGACCTGTGACATGCAAACGATCCAGTTGGACCTGAACATGATGGATGGATTGTCAAGAATTTGTGAATCACAGACTCACACCTTGTTGGCAAGGCAAGAAGAATTGCAAAAAAATAAAGGAATTTATGGAATTTGAAAAATTGCAGCCTTTGCGATTTGATAAGGGCGTCCATTCAAATTGCGATTTCAATTCGATTAATATTTTACCTTATATTGACTAATCATGAGTTTTGATTCAATATTATTTCTTATATTAATTTCATGAACATAATAAACACCAAAGGGTCAAATGTATTTATTTATTTATTTTATGATTTATTTTTCTTATTGTAATCCTGCTCGGACTACCTGCTTTTACTGACAGATGATTGGCTGTGGACGTCTGATTTAAAAACATCTCTGTATTTTTGTGTGTGCAGTGTTAAGTATGAAGACCCTGGGGCTGTGGAGGGCTTAGCAGGTGCTCTTGACACGCGGCTTCAAGTCACCGGAGGGGTAAGTCAACATAGTGTACACAGACATAGAACTAATTTCAAACCCAAATGGTATAATCAAAGAACTAATGAATCCTACTATTAACTGTTCTTCTCAGATGCCTGTAGCAAAAACCTCTGTACAAAATGACATTGATCCTTGGTTATCTTGTGATATGGTAGGGCTCTATAGTCCTTCCCATTTAAATTATTGCAACTTTTATTGAATTATTAATTGTGTTTATGTTTTCAAAAGCCTGAGGACCAGTCAGCAGTTAGTGAAGGTGTATCCAGTGAAGGTATGTACTTGAACTTACTCATGCAGTGTGGTAAAGGTGCACTGTTTAACTTTTTGTTTGGGGGTCTGTCACCTGCTTGTTTCTGTGAATATGTCACTGCTCTGTCTGGAATGTTCCACAGTAAGGCTTTAAACAGCTCTACCTTGCATTTATTCAATTATAGTTGGTTTTACAGCTCAAATGACAATAATAAGATACTGTGAAACATTCCAAACATAGTAATAACATTTCCAGAAAGAAAAGCATTTGACAGACTCACCACCAGAAAAGTTACACAATGCATCTTTAACCCTTCCAGACCAACGGCATCATATACGATACCTGGGAATATGTTTTATATAACCACGCACAGTTTTCCAACCATAAAATATAGACACTTACTTACATTTACTGACAGTTGTGGCTTTCCGAGCACATTTCCGGCATTATCCTACATCACATGCACGCTGCGTAATGACGTAGAGAAGGCAAGGCAAGGCAAGTTTATTTGTATAGCGTACACAAAGTAATTCAAAGTGCTTTACAGAATAAGAAATACATTAAAATCATAATAAAAACAAATCAAAACATAAATAATCATGAAGATTAAAAATTTAAAAAGAGAGACATAAATTGGAGAGAAGAGTGCGGAATGAAAACCTTTCAGTTATATGCACAGTCAAACAGAAATGTTTTGAGACTGGATTTAAACAGCGTCAAAGAAGAGGCCTGTCTCACATGTTCAGGAAGACTGTTCCAGGTTTTAGCTGCGTGAACCTGAAACGCTGACTCCCCTTGTTTAGTCCTGACTCTGGGCACCAGCAGGAGGCCGGTCCCTGAGGTCCTCAGAGTGCGAGATGGTTCATATGACACTAACATGTCAGAGATGTACTTTGGTGCTCGGCCATGGAGAGACTTGTACACAAGCAGAGCTGCTTTAAAGTCTATTCTCTGAGCCATAGGAAGCCAGTGCAGAAACCTGAGCACAGGACTTATGTGCTCGTACTTCCTAGTTCGAGTAAGGACCCGAGCTGCAGCGTTCTGGATGTTCTGCAGCGTCTCACAGCTCGTTTGGAGAGACCAGTGAGCAGAACATTACAGTAGTCTAACCTACTGGAGACAAACGCATGGATAAGTTTCTCCAAGTCTGCTTTAGACAGTTAGATTTTTGCTATGTTTTTTAGATGGTAAAAGGCTGCAGATGTTATTGATTTGATGTGGCTGTTAAAGTTCAAGTCTGAGTCCATTATTACCCCTAGATTTCTTGCCTGATTTGAAGGTTTTAGAAAGAGAGACTGGAGGTGACTGCAGACACTGTCCCTTTGTTTCTGTGGACCAAACACTATGACTTCAGTCTTGTCAGAGTTTAGCTGGGAGAAAGTTGTTTTGCATCCACACACTGATCTGTTGGATGCAGTGACCAAGTGAGTCCACTGGTCCATAGTCTCCTGCTGCCAGAGAGACGTAGATCTGAGTGTCATCTGCATAATTGTGGTAGGACATGTTATTGCTGCTTATTAACTGGCCTAATGGCAGCATGTAGAGATTGAACAACAGGGGGCCCAGGATTGACCCCTGAGGCACCCCACAGGTCAGGGCCATGTGATCTGAGACACAGTTTACAATTTCAACAAAATACTTCCTGTCTTCTAGATAGGACTTGAACCAGTTTAGTACAGTACCAGAGATGCCCACCCAGTCCTCTAGTCTCTGTAAGAGGATCCCATAATCGACAGTGTAAAAAGCAGCACTAAGATCTAACAGGATCAAGACTGAGACTTTACCTGCATCAGAGAAAACAAGAGTCCAATAGGAATGTTTTCCGCTAAAAGCATGTGCTCCATCCATTTTCATTGGCCCAAACTTTGCCAAAGTGTGTAGTGAATCAAGATGGTCGACTGCTCTGAGCATCTATATTCGTAACAGTTGAAAAAGCCGCTCTAAAAGCAGTTATTTCTCAAATAAATGGCAAATTACGCGTCTTAGTCTGCGTAATTGTGCGTCTCCTGTTATTTTTATTTGAAAGGTTTATTTCACTCAAAATGTACAAATCCAAATGTAATACACACCATGGAAATGCAGGAAGTGATGTGGCTCTGTGCCCTGGACCTGACATGAGCTGTTTTCATGCCAAGTAATGGGGCAATATGGATATTTTTTGTTTACTTACAAACTTTAAATGTTGTACTTATGTAGCTAAGGCCCTAAATCAAGCCTTTTTAATGTCCAAAAAGTAGTTTATACATCTTTGCTCTGTATTTTATGAAAGAGTGCAAATTTTCTTTTCAGGTTTTTTCTTTTTTTGTTTTTTTTCCCCCTTCTCATTTATATTTTTGGTCCTATAGCTTTTATAAACTACAGCATGCACATTGTGAAATTCTGAAAAAAATGACATATAATAATAATAATAATAATAATAATAATAATAATAATAATAATAATAATAATAAATAATGACTGAAAAAAATGACATATAATACTTTAGAGGGGGTAAAATTGGGAGTTTTCATAGCAAAATTAAGAAAAAAATCAAGGCATGGACAACTGTACTAAAATTGCCCTTAGGTCTTGGAGGGTTAAATTGAATTGAAATGAACTGTACGTTTTTCAACTTTCTTTTTTAGAGCTTGATAAGTTTTTGGAGGACAGAGCTCGAGTGGCAGATCACAACAGCCGACCATCTCGAAGCCAGCAGCCGCTATCCAGACCCCAGCCTCAGTCCGCAGAGCAACAAGACAGAACTCATGACCAGCTCTTTTCTCTTTGAACAAATCAGTACTAATAATCACAATTATACATGTCCATGGGTTTCAGAGTGGTCCAAAATTCCAAAAAGTGTGCCAAAATACTAACTAATCTAAACCCAATACAACATGTTCTGCTATAATGGTCAAAACTACATTAACAGACACAGATTTGAATATTTTTACTTGAAACATGATTTATGCTGAGAAGATAAACAGTGTTTTATTCAAGTATCCTTTTCAGAGGACAAACATATTTTTTTATGTTACCAAGGTATACATACACCATAAATGTCTGTAAAATAATTACAGCATGTGTTAAAATACTTGGCCTCTACTATAGGTGAGGTTTTTATTATTCAAACTCACTACCAAACCACCATTCAAACCATGCCACATTCCCAGAGTAAATACTGTAATTCCCTGCTGTCTTAATTGTGTGATTTCCCGCAATACTCTTTTATGTATTTATGAAACCATTGTTAAAGTGCACTATGTAACCTTTTGGTCTGCTTGTTTCTATGGATGGGTCACTGCTCTCCCTAGAATGTTCCACACTGTGACATTAAACAGATATTACATTCATTCATTTACAGGTGGTTTTATAGCTCAAAGATACCTTGAAAAAC